TTTCTTATTTCCCTATTAGAGAAGGTAGTGGTGGCTTTCCATCTCAGTTTTTCATCAGATTTGGTTTTTATTGTTGCCATATTCCCTGTTAATGCCATTTTAAACTAGGGACCGTAATTCAACTTGTACTGAACATAGGTGCATGGTGTCAGTTAGATCAGTGAGAGTCACCAAGAAATAGGATTCTCTGTGCTCAGTGTTAGAAACTGTTTCTGCACTCCCTGATGTATTCAAGTCAGTACTTAAATCTGAAAACAGTTAACATGAACCTGAGATAACTTTCTTTAATGCAAATGTACTAAAATTTATTTTACTCCACTTGTAATGCTGTAGTCACACATGCTTTTATGAAAGAGTCTCTGAAAAGAAATTCCCAAAACAGGCTGCATATGAGTTGAGAGAGTGAGGGGAAGCAATTATAATGTTGTTTTCTAAATGAAGAAATGGTGGAAATAGTTATACACAAAAGGACTGTAGCTCCAAAGTTATTACAGGAGCTTCTTAATTTCCAGTTGATAAAATTTCAGGAGGAAAACCATTACATTTGCCAGTAAACACTCCTCCTGGTGAATTCTCTTGTTAATTTAAAAGAATTCTGTATTTGCTTAAAGTAGCTACATTGAAAATAAATATGATTTGAACACTATTTATTAAATGTAGTTTCAAGGGAAATACGTTTTTCTTGGAAGGAGGAATGCTCATAATTACAGGAAAGTTATGATGCATCTTTTTAGTCCTCATAACTTATTTTCCCTGTAAAATTGCTGTTTCTGTTGTTTTTAATAACTAAAAATCCTGAGAACTGATCTTACTGAGATTTTTATTGGACCAGTAATCCCTGACTGAGCAAGGCTTTCAAAAGCATTTTTATGATGATGTGCAGAGCAAAGCAGATAGCATGTTACAAATTCTGTCTAAAATAGTGAGGAGTATAAATAAGCACTAAAAAGGGATAAACTCTAGCTTGTTTCCTAGAATCCTAGTTCTGATGGTTTTTTTTCCTGGAGATGGAGAGTAATGACAAGACATTGACATGGCAATGGGTAGAGAAGATGATAGTTCATTAGCAACTACCTTTGAGAGTGTGTTCTGCCATGGTGCATCTCTTCCTTGCAAATGTCATCTCAAGATGAAGCTGTTTGGTTTAACACTTCCAGTCTTAGTCTTCTGTTTTCTCATCTGCAACATCCCCAAATAAGCAGTTCTACCTGGGGCCTGATCTCTTTGTCTGTTCTCTTTTTTGTTTGTTTTTCCCTCTGTGTGTCATGAATGTAACAGCTGGTTCTCAGATGATGTTAAAGCAATTATTGAAAAAATGTGGGAGGATGAGGAGGTGATACCACATAATATTTTCATGTAGTATCTATAGACTTAATAGAAAAACACAAATAAGATATCTACAGAGTAACAATTTTCATTGGAAAGGTTGAGTAGTACTTAGGATGTATTTTGTCTAGTGCACTGTGGTACTGCAAAGACTTCGGAAGGGCATGTGGCATCTTCTGACACACTTTCCTTATGTAAGTTTTCCAAGTGAGGAGAAAAAAAAAATCACTTACAGATTCTTTCATTCTATTAACTGAATTGCATGTAACTTCATTTTCCATGGAAACAAAAGAAATGAAGACTGAAGTGGTTTGTGATCTACCTACCATGTATTTACTCCAGTTTTCTTGCCCCACATGACTTCATCAACACTGGTGGAAAAGGGAAAGAAACCCCTTAAAACCTGGGCAGGACATTTTCTGAGGTTTCAACATTGTTGGCTGAGGTGTTTAACTTCTCCATTGAACTGTCTGGGACCACCTTCCCATTACCCCTGTACCATTTCCTTCCTTTAGAGGGTTCTAATACGGTGCAAAATTGAACTTTTCATTTGATGAGGAATTTGAATCTTAAATAATCAGACAGTTGTGCTGAGTTGAAGTTTCTGTAATAGTAAAGAAAGCACTGCAGGCTTAGTGGATTTGTAATGACAAAGCCTTTCCATCCTGTCTTCTATATATATTCCTGATTTGCCTGGGTGCTAACTTCTGTTTGAAGGCAATGCTTTCAGGCAGGGAAAAGCTAGGAGTGAGAGGAGAAAAAGATGGCAGGGGGGAGGAGGGAGAAAAACAAGCAAGGTGGAAGAACTTTTCTGACTGGGACTTCAAACATGGACAGTTGTGCTGAGTTGAAGTTTCTGTAATACTCAGGATTCTGTATTCTGTAATACTGTTCAGGATTTTTTGGCAAGTGTTTGCTGCCCTTCACTTTGAAAGCAAGGAGCTCATTTTCCCCCTTGAAGTAGTAGTTGATTTCAGTTATTCATTAAACAGATAATTTAAGTTCAACAAAGCAGTTGTTTGTGGGGGTTTTGTGTGGGTTTTTTTTTAATTACACTTACCAAAAAATAATGGATAAGGAATGTGAAACCTTTTTCAAGAGCCTCTGACTCAGGTTCTGGTTTTGGGAGGAGAGGGATTGGGTGTTTTTCTGAAATCTGAAGCTACCCTGTACTACCAGTCAAACCGGAAAGGCCTATTTTCTTAAAAACAATCTAAAACCATTGAAGAAAAATATGGTGAATTCTTAAAAAGAGCAAGTTCCTGTCAGTTTTACAGTGCAAGTAGTTGCATGTGCCTATATGTGCATTTTTGTCTTTTTTTTAATTGAGGGCGGAGGGAGATTGTTGGTATGGAAAGATAACTTAATTATTTTTTTTTCTGCTTCATTTTGCAGGATACAGGGCACCCCTGCACAGCAAGTGATCCAAACACCTGCCTCATGCCAGTATCTCCTCAGCATTTCATTGATCTCTTCAAATTTTGAGATGTTCCGTAGCTGTTTTCCTGTGTTTGTGGCCATTTTTGTGAAGAATCAGGCAGAATACATTATGATTTTTGTGCAATATATTTAAGTGTAATGTTTTGTCGTAGTTTAAAAAAAAAGATGAGGGAAATTTATCAGACACGTTTAGTTGGTGTATTGTTTTTGTGCAGAAAAGAGCTGAGGAGAAGGAGACACGTTAAGAAAACTCCTTTATCAGGAAATCTGCAGTGGACTTCTTTTTCAAGTCCAAGAAAGACCATTTTAATCTCAACTTTAAATCCATTCTTTTGACGCCTTAATAGTTGGCTAAAATTATATGGGGGAGTTTTGAAAATGTCATGGAAGAGTCAAACTTCTCTTACAGGGACCAAAGGAGGAGCTTTTTTGTTAGTCCTTCTTTCTTTAAGCCACAGTTTTCAAAACACCTCCATGTAATTTGCACTGTTATAACAAATAGGCCAATATTCTCTTGGACTCTTAACACATCAGTTACCAAGGTGGCATTAATCAGTGTGAGCTGGTGAATAAAATATAGCTGTGGTGAACCTATGAATGAAACCAACCAATCTTTGTATATACATTATGCAAAAATATTTATTTTTCTTAAGGACTTTATTAAACATATAACCTATCTCAGCACATCCTGCATAACTCAAGAGACAGATCTGGGGCTACTAGAAAGTGATTTTTTTTTTTTTGATGGTAGCTACAGCCTTCATTTATACTGTTTGGTATGTCTACAAATGCAACTGCATTAATTCATCTTCTAAGAAGAAGACATTGACATTTATTGAGAATGGAGTTGCTTGTTTCTAGACTGGTACAGTGGCAGGACATTGTACAACCAACTGAGGTTCTATCCTGACAAGTCTTCACAAGCTGTGGGGAACACTGAAAGTCAGTCAGAGCTGAAGCACCTTCTGCCAAGTTAATCAGATGATAAATTCTCCAGGAAGCTATTTTCTTCTATCTTGTAGAACAAAATAAATTGCTTGGCTTAGGCAGGTAAAGGAAAATTAGAGAAGTCTTGGGTTTGTCAATGAAATATAACAATGTTATGTACAGAAAAAATAAATCATATACTATATTCTGCACTTGGTTGTTCTGAATCTAGTTTTGTACAGTGTAATAAATCATGGTTTTATCTATTATTCCTAGAAATCTTATGCATAGAGATGAATCCATTTGAATTTTATCTTTCTGTAACCTCTTTTTTGTAGCAATTGGTAATGGAATGAGAAGCATACAAGCAGTCCAAGTGCCTTTGCTTTTCAGTAATTGGTTGTATTAACATTTTTTTAATAGAGTATCTGGACTGTTAATGGGCTGCACAGGAAGAGGAAAATATTATTTTCCTCGAGAGGGTTTTATTTGCTTTAACTTAAGTTTCAGTGTTATACCAACCTTATCTATTGGATTTGCTGATAGGTGGATTTTTCAGTATAGAGTTTTGTGGGGTTTTTTGTCTTCCTTTTAATTAAGGTGTCTGCCATGGTAATGATCAGGTGTGGAGCCAATGACATCCATTCTTATTCCTGCTCATTCAGAGTGTTGCTGCAAGCCTCACTTTGCTAGCCTAAGCACTGCTGTAGCCACTGGATTTAAGGAACCAGCAGCTCTTTAACAAGGATTTGCACTCTGTATTTAACTAAGGTAATGGTTGCAGACTTGCTTTCCTGTCTGCCTGACCTGGGTAACCTTGGCCATGGTTGATGGCTGGCATCCATTTATCACTTCTTTAACATGGTTACAATTTTGCTACCCTTTGTGAAACTTCCTGTAAACATCTACATGAATGTTACCTGCTTTCTCTGAGAACTTTAAAGAAAGGTTCTGAAATCAGCGTTTGGTTTAGTACGGTGCTGAGCTCTTCTCCCCTGGTGCTGACTGAAGGCCTCTGATCAGGGACTGCAAGGAACCATCCCTCCTGCAGGTATGCAGGCAGAACATGAGCTCTTAAGGGACACACTGTTACCTGGGAAACTGTCTGTTACTGAAGATGCAGACAGTGTGAGAATCAGGAAAAGGTATTAAGAAAGCTGAGAGGGACTGCCCTGGCCTCTAAATTGAGGAGGCAGAGAGGTGACTTAAAATGGCTTATGAGAAGTAAAAAGTTTTGGAAAAATCAGTATCTGTTTGCATCATTCCTGTGCTTTCAGCTGCACGGCTCAAGTCCAACCCCTTGAAAGACTCTGGAATGTAATTCCCAACTCCTGTGAGTTCAGTAGGATGAAGGTTACTGTTAGAGTTTATAATGTCTGTACCCAGAGACATGACAGGGAAGTGGATTCAGAAGGTGGCAGAGGTGAGTGTGCCACTAAAACTGGGTTTCTGTTGATTCTAGTGAATATATTTCTTAGGCTGGGCAAATAGCAGAGCTTGATTAAAAGGGACTACATGGTGTGACATCATTGGATGCGTAAGAAGATAGCTTTTTGCTTAGGTGACATAAGTCTAAGGCCGTGATTTTGATCAACAAGGGTCTGTGTTGTAGTTTGGTGTGTGGTTTTTTTTTTTAATCTCTTCATGAGACAGAAAGGGGAGAGGATTTCACCTTCAGGCTAATGATCTTGTCACTACCTCACCTGTAGTAGAGAAGGTATTTTGACAACCTGAATTAACCCTATTGCCCTTTACACCAGTTCCTCAGTTCCTACTCATGTAACCTAAAGTGTGGTAACCCATGAGAAGGGTTGTGCCTTAAAGCAAAACCTCTGCTCCTCGGCCTCCTGCGTGTGGGCTGTCATGTGCCAAGAGAGGCAGGTGCTCCCCCCTGCAGCAGACAGTGTGCCTTGAAAGGTGTACCAAAGCTCCACAGCTTGCTTTTGCTCCACAGCTTTTGCCTCAAGACCTGGATCTGTCTCTGTATAGGTTTTGCAGTGGCAATAATAGGAAACCATGTTCCAGCTGGGGCCCCTGCATGATCACAGTCTCAGGTGATTTGATTTTATGGAATTCTAGTCCTGAAAAACAACACTGATCCAAAGACAATCAAGACAGTTTCTGCCACAGTCCACAAGGAGCTTGAAATCACAGTTTTGAAAAATAGGATCTTCCTTCCACCTCCCTGACTGCCCTCCCCCTCCCCCCCAGTCATTAGCTCAAAAACCCATTGCTGGGAGACTCCAGACCTGTTGGATTACATTCTCTTCCAACATTTTTGTTCTCCTGTTTCTGGGAAAAGACACTCTGACTGTAAAGACAGGAGACATGGACCTGTTCAGAGAGCACTGAGAGCACCATTCTATTTGGATATCAGACAGGACTGAGGTTCTTATCTGGAAAAAGCAGAGGAGCAGAATCATGCTCTTTTCCTTTCCTCTGTTCCCCATCCCTGGGAAATGCATAAACTTGCTTTTTGAGAAGGAAGAAGCTGAACTGTGAGGAAAAAACCCTACCTCAGAGAGATATCCACAAAGACAGGATTGAAAGAGTAGTGGTGTGTTGTGGTCTAGAAGGCAGAAGCAGTGCAGGTGAGCAGAAAGGAGGAGGTGGAATGGGGAATAGTAGCACAACATTTTGGATTTGCCTGGTGCATAAATTAGCACATTTGCAGCTCAGTCATTGGAAAGGAAAGGATTGTATTAGCTAAAGTCTTGCATACAAGTGTATTTTTGAGCCAATAATAAGCATGAGTAATAATTTTTTCCTCTTACTCATTGCCTCCTTTCTCTGTGTGAATTAATTTTGCATTTATGCTCTTGCTTTTAACCTCCAAGTCTTGTCATATACATGTATATGTACATATAGAAAGAGAGCGAGAGAGCGTATGTATTTCTAAAGCCTCATTGCTTGAAGGCAATTGCATCAAGAAGCTGATTTGATCAAAAACCTTCAAACTTCACAAAATCAGTCATAGATACTTCTGATACTTAGAAGTCCTGTAACCCAAATTTAACAAACCAAGTACTTCACAGCTTCTTACAGAAGACATGGGTAAAGCTCAGTGCCTAAGAAAAAAGTCACTCTGCACTGGCCAAAGAAACAGGACGCTTAAGCAGCATACTGAAAATGGCCTCAGGTGCTTAACTTCTGAACAGAAAGTGAGACTTCTCTCCAGCCAAGTTGAGCATCTGTATCTTCTCTGGGAGCTTGTCACCTGCACTCTTACTTTGAAAAGCTGAGGAGAGCTCACTTCTTTCAAAGTCCACGAGAGGTCCCATTTCACCCTGAATCTTCACAGTTAGAATATTAATTTTGGAGGCTCCCTGTCCCAAAAGCTACATTTGACATTGTGTTGCATCCCATGTCACATTTACTTTCCTCTCCTCTGTGCTGTGGCAGGCATTGATGCTGGAGCAGTCAGCCAGTCCATTCAAGCTGCTGATCCAACCAAAATCAGAAATCATTATTTCTAAGGGTGATTTTCATGGAATCATTCTTCCTCAGTCTTTTCAGCTGAACCTACTCCCCTCCCATACAGTTAAGGAGGGTGATTCTCCCCCTCTACTCTGCTGTCCTGAGACCCCACCTGCAGTACTGTGTCCTTCTGCTGTCCTGAGACCCCACCTGCAGTACTGCGTCCTGCTCTGGAGCCCCCAACGTAAGAAGGACATGGAGCTGCTGGAGTGAGTCCAGAGGAGGGCCGCCAAGATGATCTGAGGGCTGGAGCACCTCTCCCATGAAGACAGGCTGAGAGAGTTGGGGTTGTTCATCCTGGAGAAGAGAAGGCTCTGGGTATACCTTCTAGCAGCCTTCCAGTACCTCAAGGGGGCCTACAAGAAAACTGGAGAGGGACTTTTTCCAAGGGCATGTAGTGATAAGACAAGGGACAATGGATTTAAACTGAAAGAGGGCAGATTTAGATTAGATATAAGGAAGAAATTCTTCACTCTGAGGATGGTGAGGCACTGGAACAGGTTGCCCAGAGAAGTTGTAGATGCCCCATCCCTGGAAGTGTTCAAGGCCAGGTTGGCTGAGGCTTTGAGCAACCTGATGTAGTGGAAGGTGTCCATGGATGATCTTTAAGGTCAAAGACCAAAAGGGCCAAACCCTTCAATGATTCCATGATTCAGCAATATTGAGTCATGGAGCTAGATGTTTAGGTACTCACCTAAGAAAATACAAAAGGTCAAAGCATCTTGGCCAAATGTGGGCAGGAGCTGCCTAGCTGTGTGGCACTGTATGACCAAGCA